CTTTAAATTAATAAAAGAAGGAAAAATATTTCCCTTGTTAAAGTAGAAGAAACAGTAGAACATGACTTTATCCCAACTTTAACAATGAATCACTTGATATGACTTGGTCAGGTTCACTACTCCATGTCTTTATCTCAGTCTGTAAAGTAAGGATTGTACTTTTCTATGTACAGTGATGTTTTTGACACTTAGTTTATTAATGTTTAAGATTTCCAGATGGAAGAGGCTATTGAAACACGAAGTGTCATTGCAATCAACACCACCATGTTACAGAAGGCAGAAATAACATTACAGAGATATTTCCAGAGTTTTGTTACATTCTCTTGAAAATAAATGTGTATTTCAGACTGGAGTATCCTCCTTGGGGAGTGTTCCCTGCAGACAATCAGCAAACAGCTGAAGGAAGTGTGCCGCATGTGTGGGATCTCAACAGCAGACTCGCCTTCTATTCTTAGTGCCTGCTTGGTTGCTATAGAGCCCCAGGGATCCTTTGTAGTGATGCCAGGTAAGTACAGAAATACATGTTACTAAAACATTTTCTTGGCCTAAAGTACACATTGGAAGTGCATCAATCTAGGTGGCTTCTGGCCACAATGGTGAGCCTCGCTGAGATAGATGAATGAAAAAGGAAGAGTAAAAGGTATAATTTGGGACATCCCCACGGACTACAGTAGTACTTGGAGTTGCAGTGCTAGGAGAGTTATCTTACAGGAAGGAGAATTCTTTATACCCTACCAAGTTGATGGCTTCTCCTGGCAGCTTTATTTGAAGAGACCTGCCTTGGAGGAAGACTGGTTCTTCTTCAAGTGATTGCTCATGTCCATTCCATGTAGGTGTGCGCACCCTGTGTGCACAGATTGATGAAGAGTTTTCCCTTAGCAGTATCTGTCGGGCCGGCAGGAAGCCTCCTGGAGTGGTGCCTGCATATGCATATAATCCCCTGACAGCCCGTCACCCCCTCAGTTCTTTCTTACCACCTGTGACTGTCCTTGGAGCTCCTATCTCGCTTGCTTGCAAATGTGATATGTGTGGTATCCACGGCTAGTTAGCACCTTGTTAGAGCACCTCAACCCTCCAGAAATACTCCCCCATCCCTCTTCAAGGACCTCTCTCACAAGCATCTCTTAGGGATGCAACAGCTTCTCGATCTTGGAGCTGTAGAAGAGGTCCCAACGGACCACAGGGGCAGGGGATTCTTCTGCTCCTTTTTGGTTCCAAAGGCCCAGGGCAGGTTTTGTCCCATCTTGAATCTCGGCGCCCTGAACACCTCCATAGTGAGGTAAAATTTCAAGATGCTGACGTTAGCATCTATCATCCCTTCTCTAGCCATGGGAGACTGGTAGATTGCTCTCGATCGCAAAGATGCTTACTTCCACACCTCAGTTGCGGACTCTTACAAGCCTTTCCTCCGATTTATGGAGAGTCAACATCATTATCAGTTTACAGCACTCTCCTTTGGCCTCTCTATAACCCTCAAGGTGTTCACCAAATGCATGGAGGTTGTTGCCACTTTTCTGCACAAGAGAAGGGTTCAGGTGTACCTGTATCTAGAGGACTGGCTCATAAGGGGTTCTGCTCACTCCCAGGTCATGGATTGCATATCCCTACTCAGGGAAACCTTCCTTCAGTTAGGTCTCATTCTGAACAACGCCAAGTCCACTCTAATTGCCACTGAAAGGATAGAGTTTGTGGGAACCTGCCTCGACGTTACAACAGCCATGGCCTCCTTGCCAGCAGCTCATTTTCTAGTGATAAAGGAGGCCATTCTGAGACTCCACCTATCCCCCATTACCACTGTCCAATGTTGTATAGACTGCTAGACTTCAGGGCAGTGTGCATGTATGTGATGCGGCATACCAGGCTCCGGCTCCACAGCTATGACTAGTGTGGGTTCATAACCCAGTGTTCCAGCCCATGGATATGGTGGCGATGGATATTATGAGGTCCCTTGACTGGTGGCTGAGGAGGAAGTGGTTTGTGCCAGGATGCTGTTCAGCAGCTCTTCCCCATCGATACGGGATGGAAGTCCACCTTGGGGATCTACGGACTCAAGGTATGTGGTCTCCCGCAGACTGTCCCTGTATAGCAATGTCAGGGAGTTGAGGGCTATTCGCCTCGCTTGCCACGTTTTCCTGCCACACCTTCAAAATAGGTGCATTTCGATCTTCACGGACAGCATGGCAGCAATGTTTTGTATAAACCAACAGAGTGGAACTCGCTCCAATCCTCTTTGCTAGGAGGCGCTTCTCCTGTGGGAGCTCTGCATTGCCCATGCTATCCTCCCAGTGGCATCTTACCTTCCTGGGTCTCAGAATGCACTGCCAGACCATCTCATCATGTCTTTCAAGGGGCACAAATGGTCCTTCAGAGCAGATGTGGCGTTGGACATCTTCGGCAGGTGGGGATTTCTCCACCTGGACCTGTTTGCAACCTGCAGCAACAGGAGGTGTCCCTGCTTCTGCTAACCTCTTCAACCACAACCTGGGTTCCTGGGAGATGCCCTGCCAGTTCCCTGAACCCCAGTTCTGTTGTACGTCTTCCCTCCGTTCCCTCTGATTCACAAAGTGATACTTGAGGTCAGGGAGTTCCAAGTCTCCCTGATCCCAACAACACTGGTCGCCACTGCTTGGCCTCTCAGTGGAGCACCCCATAACCCTCCCCCTATGTCCGGACCTGATCTCACAAGATTTCGGCAGGCTTGGCCACCCATACCTCTGATCTCTGCACCTCATGGCATGGAAGCTTCATGGCTAAACACCTGGGAGAGCCAGTGTTCGGAGTGCATTCAGAGGGTTTTACTGGGGAGTCACAAACCCTCTGCTAGGGCCTCTTATCTAGCAAAATGGAAACTCTTCCTGTCATGGTCAGAGAGAAGGGTTTCTCCCCCGTGAAAGCCCCTGTCCTTGCTATCTTAGACTACGTTTTGGATTTTAGAGTCCAGGGTCTCGCCTCTTAGTCTGTCAGAGTATACATAGCCACTATCTTGGCTTTTCATTCAGAGGTCTGGGGCAAGATTCTCTTTGCTAACCCTATGGTGCATCACTTTCTTAAGGGGTTGGATAGGGTATATCCTCAGGTGTGACAGCTCCTGCCCCCCCTTCCCCGGGATCTTAATCTGGTGCTCATTAGATTGATGGCACCCCCTTTTGAGCTGTTAGCATCATGCTTGCTGTTTCACTTTTCCTGGAAGTTGTCATTTCTTGTGATTATTACTTCTGCTAGGAGGGTTTTAGAACTGCAGATCCCTTATACTGTTTTCTTCAGGGATGAAGTTAGGCTTCACCTTCACCCTGCATTTTTACCTAAGGTGGTGTCTCATTTCCATGTCAATCAGGATGTATTTTTTAATGTTTTTTAACTAAAACCTCATCTGTCAGGAACAGAACAAGCTCTAAACACCTTTGACTTTAGATGTGCCTTGGCTTTTTATTTGGACAGAACAAAACTATTTTGTAAGTCTCCTTCCTCCACCAGTTATTTGTTTCGATAGCTGACAGGATGAAGGGCATGCCAGTGTCAGCTCTCATCCTGGATCACTTTCTGCATCAGGACTTGTTACGAGCTGGCTCATGTTCCTGCTCCTTCTATTACAGTTCACTTCACTAGGGTGCAAGCTTTGTCCGCCACCTTAGTGGCTCAGCTGTCCATCATTGAAATCTGCAGAGCAGCCACCTGGCTGTCAGGGCATATTTTGCAAGTCACTACGCCATAGCGCAGCAGGCCAGAGATGACATGGCGGTGGGCGGGGCAGTGTTGCAGTCCATTTCTTTGTAGCCTCCAACGCCACCTCCATGGGGTTAGCTTTGGAGTCAACCTACATGAGCAGTCACTTGAAGAAGAAAAACATGGTTACTTACCTCTCATAACTATTCTTTGAGATGTGTTGCTCATGTCCATCCCAAAGCCTATCCGCCTTCCCTTCTCCAGAGTACACTAGCAAGATGGAACTGATGGGGTGGCAGACTGGGATGAGATTAAACATGTGCCTATGCAGGTGCCACTCCAGGGGGCTCCCTGCCAGCCTAACAGGTACCGCCAAGGGAAAACTCTCTGCTGTGTGCACACTTACATGGGATGGACATGAGCAACACAACTCAAAGTACAATGTTATGAGAGGTAAGTAATCCTTTTGTTGTGTGTGTGTTCTTGGCTTGATTATATCATTGTTGTATGGGGCCTGATGTAAAGAGGACTGCTGTGGGATTGCTCTTCTGTGTGAAGGATCAAAAAGTGTGTCTCTCTTTTATGGGGAGGATGGAATGTTGTAGGTGGAGATTATAGTTGTGATTCATGATGAAAATGAGGTTAAAATCACAGCCCCATAATATCTATTAGTTCTTGAAGGGGCCCTGTTATGTACAGAAATCCACAAGAGAGCCAAATTAAAATAGGCAGTGGAAGTTACTATGACAACCTAGAGATGCTGTTAAGTATATCATGGAACAATTTTCTGACTTGAAGACTTTCTGGATTGCTTAATTTTACAAATATTTTCTCTCCTCCTCCTCTGTTTCTCATTTATTGTATTTCTTTTATTTGAAATTTTTGTTGGCTCTTTTTGTGTTTTAATTTATATGCCCTCTGCATGTTAGGGAATGCTACATTTTATATTTTTTTTGTGAATTTGGGGATTGTTTAATCACTGTTCAGTTCTTAGGTTAGGACAGATTTTGTTTATGATTATGGATTATAAATAATACTTCCACTTTTCAATGAACAAAAATTCACAAGTATTTTTTGCAACTTTTTTGCTATAAAATCTGATTTTGGGGGGGGGAACTGGTGAGAGTTGCTTTTCGAGACAGATTTTAAACTTTTCCTTTCTCTTCTGTCAGTTTTGTGCTGCTTTTAAGTATGAAATGGAGTAAGAAGTAACATGAGTAGTTTCATTCTAAATTAGATGTCTAGTAATATCATTGGACTTAAAACAAACACGCAGTATGTAGGTTGAAGATATTACTGATATATGCAAGACTGAGGATTCATGATTCTGTCTCTGTTTCTGTCCTGAAAGATGCTGTCACTATGGGATCTGTGTTTGGCCGCAGTACTGCACTGAACCTTCAGTCATCTCAACTGAACACCCCTCAGGATGCCTCTTGTACACACATCCTGGTATTTCCAACATCTGCAACCATCCAGGTAGCTCCAGCAAATTATCCCAATGAGGATGGATTTAGCCCCAACAATGGTAAGTTAACTCTCGAATTGGTGAGATGGGTAAATATCCCAGTCTGCTCCGTGACATGAATGATACTATTCTAGAGCAGGCTTGTTCCAAAAAGCACCAAAACTCCAGAGGGCCTGATTCTCCCCTCTCAGATTACAAATAGTTTTTGTCAAAGTTCAGTTTTTATCGTTAGAAGTCAGTCAAATATAATTTAATGGTATGCGCCGCACTGACAAAAATATTTCCACTGCTGATAACTGAAATGTGGAGCTAGGTAAAATCAGAAAAATGCCTCTTAAAAACTTATTATAGTTGATTTAAGGATATTTATTTTGTTGCCATTGACATGTGATATTCATAGGAGGGAGCTGCTGCAGCCTGGGGAAAGGCATCTCCAGCCTCAGCTGGGAGCTATCATGACTGGAAGACAGGTGCCTTCTCAACATTCTTCCCTCACCATCCCAAGCAGCACAGACCCGCCATAGCTGGGAGAGAGGCACCCCTCCCACAACCCAACCCAGCCTCATTGGAGCTGCCACACCTGGCAGATGGGCCCCTCTCACCTGGCCCAAAGCTTCTTCAGTGAGAAGATGGGTGGGAGCGCTTTTTCCCAAAGAAGCCTGAACTCAAAACTCCAGCCCCAGACCAGGTCCCCCAGCCACGGCCTTTACCCCTGCTCTCCAGCCCTCTGCCCCAGACCTGAGCCCCCTCCTGTACGCCAAACCCCTCATCCTCAATCCCATCCCAGAGCCTCCACCCCCACTTAATCTGGGAGGGAGGGATAGCTCAGTGGTTGGAACATTGGCCTGCTAAACCCAGGGTTGTGAGTTTAATCCTTGAGGAGGCCATTTAGGGAGCTGGGGCAAAATCTGTCAGGGATGGTACTTTGTCCTGCTGTGAAGGCAGGGGACTGGACTCGATGACCTTCCAGTTCTAGGAAATAGGCATCTCCACTCATTTCATTTCACTCCAAACCCCTCGACCCCAGTCCCACCACAGATCGTCCATGTGCAGAATTAATTTTGTTATGTGCACCAAAACGGAGGCGTCGCACACCATCTCCATATTAATGCACATAACACAATCAATTCTGCATATGGACATTAAAAAAGAGAGAACACTGATGTCAGCCAACGTTCCTTTTAATCTGCGTGGCTGTATAGCAGTCTGTTTTCTCTGTCTCTCTAATGGCTGGGAGTACATCTGTCACCCGTATTTCACTTTGCCTAGGCAGGCAAACCAAGCTGTGTTGTCTAGCCCAGCAATTGGAGGGGCAACTTGTGCTTCCACCTCTTATGCAGAGATGTACAATCCTTGCATGCCTTCCCATTCTGAGTGGTGATTGGAGCGCCCTCCCTAGGAATCCTGTATGGCTTGGCAACTCAACGTGTTGCTCTCCCCCCCCTTGCTGCCTCCATCAGAGAGATGCAGCAAGGCAGGGGAGCAGGATTCAGTGCTGGGGGGGAGCCGGCTTAAAAGCTAGTCCCCCCAGCATTGTCTTCGGGGGGGCAGAGAAGGCAGAGGTGGACCAGACACAAGCTGGGACAACTGATTCCTGGTTTGCTCCTGTCCCCCTCCTCATCTACTGTGCTTCTTGTTTTTAAATGTAGTATGAGCCTGGAAGCTCTTAATACATTTATAAAGCAGACATACCGTGGGGGCAACCAGGAGTGAGCTTGGACAACTGATTCCTAGCTCACTCCAATCCCCCGCTCATTGTGCAGCTGCTTTTTAACTGTATTAGGAGCCCGGCAACTCGCATCCTGTGCCCTGCTACTCTACTGGCAGCTCTTAATACATTTAAAAGGCAGGGCTGCATTAGCCACTCCTGCTGTGGCTCTGCAGTTTCTCCCATTATCACCTAATTGAGTAGTCAACGGAAATTCCATCAACTACTCATTTAGCTGATTACCTGCAATTTAACATCCCTAGAGGAATGGCAAGGGTGCTCCTGCTTTCCCAGGTTTCTAACAGTTGTATATTTTTAACTGAAATTGTTGAAATTAAATGGATTCTGTTTGTGTGCCTATGTCCCCATAGTCTTTATTACCCAGTTATCATTTTTAAAATATCCCATCCTTTTTTTCAGTGTAGTCAAATGTTTCATAAGCTGCTGACTGGGAGAACTTGGTACGGCTCAAACATAATTCTCAATGAACGCTAGAAAATGTCCACAGAGTTTGACTTAATATGTCTATTGTACAAAAGAAGCCCCAGAATGAAACTTGTGGGTATTAGTTTAGCTTTATTAGCAACTTTTTAATATAGTTAAACACTTTCATTTGTCCAGACATGTAGTGCATTGAGCATTTTGCTGTGTCAGTTGCAAACAGATTTTATTGTGATAGGTTCCTCTATCTATAATCTAGGGAAATACAACCTAGATAGGGCTATTATAAGGTGGGTATGTAACTGGCTGGATAACCATTCTCAGAGAATAGTTATTAATGGTTCACAGCCATGCTAGAAGGAAGTGGGGTTCTGCAGGAGTCAGTTTTGGGACCATTTCTGTTCAATATTTTCATCAACAATTTAGGTATTAGCATAGAGAGTACTCTTATAATGTTTGTAGATGATACCAAGCTGGAAAGGGTGGCAAGTGCTTTGGAGTGTAGGATCATAATTCAAAATGATCTGGACACACTGTAGAAATGGTCTGAAGTCAATAGGATGAAATTAAATAAGGACAGATGCAAAATGGGAAATGACTATCTAGAAAGGAGTACTGAACAAAGGAATCTGGGAGTCACAAGCTAAATATGAGTCAACAGTGTAACACTGTTGCAAAAAAAATAAACATGATTCTCAGATGCACTAACAGAAGTATTGTGAGAAAGTAATTCTTCGGTTCTACTCTGTGCTGATTAGGCCTCAGTTGGAATATTGTGTCCACTTCTGGAAACCAAGTTTCAAGAAAGATGTGGAGAAACTGGAGAGGGTCCAGAGAAGAGCAACAAAAATGATTAAAGGTCTAGAAAACATGAGCTCTGAGGGAAGACTTAAAGAATTGGGCTTGTTTAGTTTAGAAAAGAGAAGACTGAGAGGAGACATGACAGTGGTTTTCAGTTATCTAAAAGGGTGTTACAAGGAGGAGGGAGAAAAATTGTTCTCCTTGTCTTCTGATAGGACAAAAAACAGTGGGCTTAAACAGCAGTAAGGGAGATTTAGGTTGGACACTTGGGAAAACTTCCTGTCAGAGTGGTTAAACACTGGAATAAATTGCCTAGAGAGGTTGTGGAATCTCCATCACTGGAGATATTTAAGATCAGATTAGACAGACATCTGTCAGAGTTGATCTAGATAGTGCTTGGTCCTGCCATGAGGGCAGGGAACTGTACTTGATGACCTTTCAAAATCCCTTCCAGTATTTTATGATTCTATGAATGTAGTCCTAGGGATTCCAACCAACCTTTTAATTCTCCTAATCAACTATCACATCCTCTGCTAACTTTCTTTGAAAGTTAGTGACCTGCATAAACAGCATGCTTTATAAATTAGTCTGAATGTAGCAAATCTACCAGTAGAATGTTCGGTTCATGAGAATGAAAGAAGACACAAGATAGGTTTGAATCAGCTTCATGTGTTATTCTTTCCTATTGTGACTAGGAATGTAAAATCCAGGTTAAAAAATTAAGTATTTAAATGGAATGTTTAACTGGTTACCATGATCCTCCGATGGGAGGTAGGACTGCTCCAGCCCAGTCAGACCTGACTGGAGCAGCCCCCCTGCAGGTGACCAGTTACCCAGATAAGCATGTCAGTAAGGGTATGTCTACACTACAATGTTAGTTCGAACTAACGGACGTTAGTTCGAACTAACATTCATAGC